CCTGGCTCCTCTTCTCCTGCAGAGCCAAGAGAAGCAAGCGGAGGATGGCGGCAGTGGAGATGAAGGGCACTGTGTTTTAAGATGCTTACTGAATTTTTGCACTGGACTATTGAAGAACCATAACTAACAAAAGAACATTGCAATATTTAAAATGATTGTAGTCATAATACTGAAACAGTTTTTCACAATAAGACATGACAAGATAGCCCTGTCTGATTCAACCAAGGTAATCATTGTAGTTGAACAACAGAAGCTATTACTGGATGCAAAGGTGGAAAGGTACACCAGTCTTCACTTAAAGAAAGCAATAAATAACTCCATTATAAGTCCTGCATTAAACCTCATTTAAGTGAAAGGCGTATTTCAATGTTGTAGCTCGTCTTACAACTTAATGCAATGCAGTCACCAACCACAACAAATCAAACACAGTAGATTTAATGTGCAAACGTAAAGGCTGAAATGACTGCCTACACATTAACTTATTACTTCTGTTATGATTGTATTAAAAGTTTCTAAGGATAGAGGGTGTCGTTATCTGTGCAGCTTGTAATGCCCATTGAGGCACATTTGTGATATTGGGCTATATGGATACAATTGACTACTTAAATTAACTTAAAGTAAAATATATTTGCATTCAGTGCTGTCATACTTTTAACCAGCTGTGGAGTACACTCCTGGTGGATGGAAATGTAAATCGTGTGAACCTTGTGTGGATTTTGTGCAATGATGAATACTTGGAAAGACAATGTAATCCTTTATGCCTTCTTTTTTTATAATGCCTTTGATTGTAATAATTCTCAATGTTTTTTTGGTTATTTGGAATAAATAATTTGCAATAAGAAATATAAACTGTGATGGAGCATGATTATTGAAGTGACATCCGGACAGCCGGACAACGACCTGTCCTGACATGTTGCAGTCTGCCAGTCCAGGAAACCATTACTCCTTAATGGTATTTATTTTAGATACACAGGAAATACAGAATATCACCGTATCATAAATTACACAAACCACCCATGCAAAGATTATTCTGCTTGCGTCACAGCACACATCAGCCTGCATGTACTCCCATCATCATTACCACCATTGAGAAAGCCCACTGAAGAAACATAAACATGGTTATGTTCGGACCTCCGAGAGGTGAGTGGTTGAGGTGACCGGCTGCTTATGTTGATTATGTCGCAAAAACAAACTTGTGGAAAGTCTCAACTTCTAAAATACAATTTTAAATTATCTTTCTTTACTTAAGTATTTTCATTGAGTACCGTTTTATAATTCTCCTTCACTGCATTTTAAGTGGAAACATTGTACTATTTACTCAACTAAATGTATTTGAGAGCTGAAGTTACTTTGTAGATTAAGCTTTCACCAACAAAACATGTGATGACTTTATGAAATATGATTTATTGCTATACAACAATATACAAAAATATGAATATTAGCCCCAACATAAAAGTATTCTTGACACGTTTATGCATCAGTAATAATAATTATTTAACTCTTATATTATAGCTTACAACTTACAAGCAGGATTATACTCCTTATACTGTTCATACTTAAAGAACATTTTGTATCTAATAATACTTTTACTTTGACAATATTCTAAATGCATGACTTTTACTTGTACATTTTCATTTATTTTGTATGTTTACAATGTTATATGGCTACTGCTGCTTGAGACCATGATCTGAATACTTCTCCCACCACTGCAAACATATTTTTTTAAAATATAATATGTGTGCTGGATGGCATTTAGTATGGGATATACAGTATCTCTGTCACCTTGTGTCACAAATAAACTAATTTTATGTCTTGCAAAGGTGGTTAAAGTGAGTTAAAGTGTGGTCGCTCTTCACTAACGTCACCCTCATCTCCATCCACCGGTACTCTTTTCATGACAACAGCGCCTCCTGGTGTCTGTAGGGGGAATCTAACTGGCCAACACCACCAAATCAGTTTGAAGATGGCGGAGGGTGAATTGAACGTGGACAGCCTCATCTCTCGGCTCCTGGAAGGTGAACAATTTCAATACAGTCTCTTTATGTCACACAGACTCAACCGTTTACGTTCATTAAGCCCGGTCCGGTTTGTGTTCTGTAACTACCGCGGTTGCCTCACAAAACGCAGGTAATATGTTAGCTTGTGGGGCTAACGCCAGCCAATCGTAACGGTGTATCTCTAGCTCTGGCTAACGTTACTGTTAGCTGGCCGTGTTTACTAACACTGTCAGCGGTGAACGCCTACGTGTTTCAGTTTTTCGCAGTAATTGCGACGTTACTCTTGGCCCGTAATTTGATTGTGCCATGGCCTTTGCTTTAACATGTAATTTAACTTCATGACTCGTGTTTTTAGCATATATTCTCCAAATGATGTACAGCTAAGGCAGGGCTGGGACGTTTGTCCTGTAATTACGGTAATACAGCCCAGAAGCAATTGCCATGCTTCTAACGGCTGTAACTGTTGCGCACGTTAATATTCAGCAAGTTAAGTAAATTAATATTTGTTAAACAAAGGCATTAACATCGATTTTCACCAGCCCCCTTGCATATATCCCATAGGTTATCGTTATGATATACTCTTGATATTAACTATTGGTGTTATACATTATTGAAAAGGGCACTTTTTTTGTGAATAACTAAACTAAAGTTTAAGAAAATTAAAAGAGATGGAGGAAGTATTGTGTGTTACTCTGACCTCTCCACAAACAGTTCTTATCTACAGTTTAAAGTATGCCATCTTGTGTTGCCGTGTTCACGGTCCCATTATTGCTTTTGTACTTGGTAAATAAAAGGACTTTTGTTGTGTTTTTGGCAGTGAGAGGGGTGTGTGCAAAAATCCTTTTGTGTAGGCCGATCACCTGCACAAGAGAAGGCCGGGAGTTTTCTGTTCCCCTCCCTGCGGTATATATCTCTGAGTCAGAGCAGACCACTAAGGTAAATTCAGCTGTCCTTGGCATACTTTCCACCAGTATCTGTGACTCTGCTGGAGGGATGAGACACCAGCATGCCAGGCACTGAAATGCTAAGATTTGTTATTTATAGAAGCTGCTGGAAAATGCCGTCACACTGCAGATGCCTTGGGTTTCTTGCAGTTTTATGTTTACATTGCTACCAAATGGTGAAATGAATTATAAATAAATTATATCATTGATTCATAGACTGCAATCAACTTTTTGTGTTCTGCGTGTGGAACTTAAATTTTTTTCAGCTGGAAAGCTTGTTGATCCTTCACACACTGTGTTTCCCTGTTTCTCAGCTTGCACTGCAGTGACTTGTTGATTGTGTTGCACATGTTTTGAATACGAGGTGGACTTTGCATTTCTCATGAGTGGTCAGTGTTGTTGTGATCTTGTTGGTGCAAGATGGCTCTTCAGACAAGTGATCACACACATGGATACAATGTTATCATTTCATAGGCTTCTCACATAATATTTCAGTGTTGTGTAAAAATGGTGTGGCAGTAAATTGGCGTCTCTTTTTATTGTCTGTTGTTAAACCAAAGCTAGGCTTTCAAATAGGTTATGTAGGTCCCACCTTTCAATAATCCGGCTCTTTTACTTTCCCAGTATCCAGTAGTAGGTTTGTTTTTGATAAAGGACGTATTATATTCGCTGTAAAACACATGCACATGTTTTTGTTGTTGTTTTCTGATGTTCAGCACGTAGTTAACATAATTCCCTGGTGCTTAATTTGAAAGGTCTCACTCTTAAGCCCTTATTTTGCATCCCAACATCACATAAATAGCTTAACTGTATGTTTTGCAGCCTCTGGAAATTTGGTCTTGAGGAGAAGCCAAGTGTCAGTGAGAGTGCCTATTCATTGGAATTAAAAGTTGTGAAACACTGTGCCACTTTCTCACACACGCACACAAGCAGTGATTTGGTTAATGATGGTTGCAAATCCTTGTCATTGCTTCATTTTAGCCTTTTGCCCCCTCAATGTTCTTAATAAGAATGTAATCTCTTTTAAAAATGCCAGGCTGCAGAAGTGCGAGCAGTGAAAGGTTCTGTGTCAAAGCCGGGCAGGCTAAGCTTCCAAGCTTAACTAGCTCGGCTCTGATGACGCTCGGTAGTTGAGTGAAGAGCCCCTACTTCTGCAATCCCATCCTTTCACACCATGGCACATATGAAGCACTGCGGGTACTGTAGATGGTCGATAAAGAAACATTGATGGTGAAAAGCAACGCTTGGTTAATGTTGGTGGAGCCCTAGAATAGGTTTTTGTCACTTAGATTCACCATCTGTGAGGCTCCATAGATTTGGTTGGATTACATGATGAGTACAATGTGTAAGTAGCATGTGTACATGCACACGTGTGCATTTATCTATGCACAAAAATGCATGCTCTGAGCTTTTGGAGTTGCTCACCAATATATCAGTTAACCCATTTTGAACAGCTTCCTGTCCTTTTTGATCATTCCTGGCTAATGTGTCATTCTTTAAGGAAACAAAAAGGAAAAGTGTTTACTATACTTGTATTAATATAGTGACAAGGCATAATTAGTCACTGTTACGTCACCACTATAATAATGATAATAATAATAAAGGTATGTATAGAACGGAAGATATAAACAAGATAAAATTATTTTAAAAAAATAGTTCAGAAAAAGCCATGAGGTAAAAGTGAGTGTGAATATTGAGTTTACGTGTTTTGAGATCCTCCGGCCAGAGTTAGCAGATCACAGATATCGGCAGGAGGCAAAGGAGTCCAAGGCTTTAACAACAAGCAATCAAATCTGAAAATCAATTCAGAAACTCGCAGGTAACAAGTGAAGGGCAGCAGGAAAAGCCCGGCAGCAGCGTTGGATGTTCCGCCTGATCATACCAGAATAAGACATTGATTTTGAAAGAAAAACAGTGCGTTCCAGAGTTGACTATAAGACCATTCTTCAGCTTAATATTTATTTATTTGGACATCTTTTTCTACTGTTTTCACGAGTCACCTTTAGCTTAGTTGTTACATCACGTTACTGATTGTGGCTTTTTTTTTAAAGGATGCCATCTTTCAGAAACATTGTGCTAATCAGGCTGTCCAACAGGGTGTGAAAATACAGACCTTTGAAACTAGATGGATCTTAACTTTAGTCTACCATAGCAAGGAAGCAGTTTTTTATGTATAATCCCACTTTTCATATCTCTTGATTAGTTCAACTGCTGACTCTCGCCAACGTTTGCAACTCTCACTCTTCTTCTTCTCATCGTTTGTGAGATAAATCTGCTTCCAGAGCTGTGGCACGACGCCACAAAGTAGGCTTAAGCTAACAGTGCAACTACACGGCCAATAAACCCACACCAGTGCTGAAGATGCAAGCTGCTCTCGTAGTCTAAGTATGGCTGAGACTCAGCAGCCATGAGCTCCAGAACCATTACGCCCACAGCTCATCAGATTTTAAGATTGCCTTGTGATCCTCCTGAAAGTGTTGGGGTCTGCCGGTGCAGCTTTGTTAACACTGCCAATGAATCTAACCCAACGGTATGTTGACGTAGCACTGACGGTGTCCTTCTCTCCTCTCCAGTACGGGGAAGTCGCCCGGGGAAGATAGTGCAGATGACCGAGGCGGAGGTGCGCGGCCTCTGCATCAAATCCAGGGAGATCTTCCTGAGCCAGCCCATCCTGCTGGAGCTGGAGGCCCCCCTGAAGATATGTGGTCAGTGTGTTGTACATGTGTGGCCTTGTATTAGGCCGTTCTCTCACAACCTCATGTGTGTTTGCCTGGGTCATATTAAGTCACCGTTACTCTCGACTGGACTACCCTGTGTATAATATAAAAGGATGCATATAGGGGAAAGGCACACATCTAAACAGATTGTGTATCGCTATATTACACACATAATATGAACTCCCTGTCATCAGGCGAAACGCTACCACTATCTCTGGCTGGCTCCAGCACATCTCTGCACACTCCCACGTGCTTTATCTCTTCCCTCCAGTGCAGCGCTGCGACTGTGAAACAACTCAGAACTGTCTACTATACATGCCAGTCCTTGAAAATACAGTACACAAGCGCACACACACACATAGAGGCTCAAGCCTACACACACACACACACACGGTTCATTTGTGGCTGTCCTCCTACCAGTTTCCTCCTACACACACGTTTACTTTGAGATTGTTGTTCTGCGGACCTAATACTGTGTCAACCTCAGATGGCAGCGTTTGTATTTCAAGTGATAAACGTGATAATTTAGTATTGAGACTATGATGTTATCCATATGTTGACATTAGAATGATTGACTTCTTAAAGGCTTCATCCATGTAGCCCTAACCCTCAAATATATTACTCAAATATGCACGAGTTAAAGGTGTTATTTTGTTGTTGTTGTGGTTGTGGTACCCCTATCCCCAGACTGATTACTTGCCTTTTAACCCACGGCCGTGACGACAGGCTGTCGGAACACCAGCACTGAATATAAAGACAGTGAATGCCTTAAATTATTAACTAGGGCCACATGGATCGGGTTCAGCGCTTACCCTCTCTCTTACATCTTAACCTTAATGTCTCTGGCATGCTTTGGTCCAAGCTGGCAGCTTTGACTCTGTTTTTGCGTTATTATTTATTTAAACGCGTTACAATGTATTTTCTGATTAGAGCGTTGTTGACAATGGTGTTCCTTGTACAGCGAAGGGGATGATAATAACCAAACCCTCTTTGTGAGGATGGGTGGACCACAAGCATGCACTCTGATGTCTGTACTGTTTATGTGTAGGTTTGCGTTCTGCGGCCTTTCATACATGTTCATGGTCTCATGAGGTGTTATGTGTATTCATAAGGAGATTGTTTTTTAAGTTTTCAAATCCAACACATGATATATAATACTGCATATAGTATTATTTCATAAAGTATTTTTGCTATTTTTGTGTGTCATGCCATCTACGGACTGTATTACAGTCATGGACCGTAGCCTGTATTGCTCAGTGTTTTTGTGTTTATTTGTTGTTTTCATCTTGTTTTTATGTGGGTGCTTTTGAACCTGTTGATTATCTAGCTAGACGAGGTCAGGCAAAAGCACACTTGATTGTAGCTGTGTTCCTTAAGTACCAGTGTCCTGATGGTAGGTTAATCATGCATAGACATTGTTATTGTTTGTTTCATTATTTTCCATCTGATTTGTCTTGTGGCCTGATCTTTCCGTGTCCTTTTTTATTATTTTAGAGTTCTATTATCACCATTGTTTTTATATTGTGTTGTCTCCTGAGACGCATCACATTCATTTTTTAACTTTCAGCCTTTTTGCTCAGCTTTTTAATCCCTACATCTCTGAGCTGCTATTCTCGGACTGTTATACCACTGCAGTCAGTGCTGCTGAGTAAATAATTCACTGTCATCCTACAGTTACTTTTGAGATGGCAGGCGGGCGGGAGGGCTGCCTGCCCTGTAGAAAGCCAGTCTTTGGTGAAGCTCACGAATTCAATTTCAGTCACGCAGCAACTCTTAGTGGGGAAGAGTAAAACTAACCCGAGGCAGACATTTTCCAACAGACAGCCAATCAAATGGTGGTCGTTGAGCTGACGTTTGCTCTGCTTTTACAAAGTTCACTCACCTCTAACTGTCTGAGCAGAGATTACAGTCTATGATGCCATGTCTCTGTGTTCACCATTCTATCCAAATGTGGTTTTGTTCCTGCATTTAATTTGCTTTTCCAAGCAAACTGCCACAAAAAGAACAAAATAGCAAAGCTAATTGCCTCATGTCCATTTTTGTTTTAGTGCAAGCAAGAATTATTGTTTTGTTGTCCTCTGTGTTTACTCTGTTGTTCAGTGGGTGTTGCCTGCCGAGTCTAAAAAAATCAGTGTTTGTCAAAATTACTATATTCATAATTGTATGTAGTATTTGTAGCTTATAGCAGCCTTTAACTTGACCTAGGTTAGCACAATGCAAAGTTAAAGTGGTATGTGCAAACTATGATTAATTTAGCTGTTGTGGCAAACTTAACATTGAAATATTGTTAATTGGAACACAAAAAGAAATGCAATGTCTGAAGTGGCAGACCAAAACACGTTGAGTGGCTGGTAGAAATATTCAGGGACCTTCAATAAGAAGTTAAAACTCAAAATAGGGTCTAAAACGGCAACTAAAATAGAAATTAAGTTAATTGTCGTGAATGCTCACGAGGAGTCACTCAGCAGCTGCCACCCTCTGATTGCTGCTAGACAGACGCAGCTGAATACAGGCTTTTACTGTCTGTCCCCGAAGTGAAAAAGAAAAGGACCGTTCCTGTTTCTTTGAATTATTTTATATTGTATTATTAATGTGAAGGATTTTGAAGTTGTTAGCATTACCAGTACTTGCATCAAAACTAGATGTCAAGCTGGGGCAAAGAACCAAGCGGCTGAGCAGCTGAGCACTGAGTATAAGACCGAGCCGGACTTCAAACATTCAAAACTGTTCTTTGAATCATTCATTTGCACGTAAAAAAAAAAAGTTTTTACATGCCATCCTAAGACACGGGCAAGAATAAGTACAGGCCTGTTGCCATATAGGTCGGATGCCAGTCGTGGTTCGGTGCCTAGATCACTGACGGGCACCATGAAATACCAAAAATCATGCCAGACACTCTCATGATAGAAAGTTGTAATTTTTGTTGGTCATTTTAATCTCAGGGCCAGACAGCTGCAAATGTCAACTAGCCCTATTATTTCATTTGAATGTGTATTTGGTGCCATCTTGTAATGAAGCATTGCCATAAAATAATGTGGCACGTGAACTTGCTTTTCTGTTTTTGTTCAAAAATAAAGCCTGTTATTATTGCCCGAGTTTTTTTTGGTGAGGCTCACTGCAGTCACCTCTGTCTGAAGCACTTAGCCCAAATTTAAAACAGCTCTTGAGTTGGTGGAAGAGGATATAAAAACAGAAAGCAGGTCTTGGCTCGGTGAGGAAGTGAGGCTCCCCCTGCAGAGATCCAGTGCTCCGGTACAGCACTGACTGATGTCAAGAAGAGAAAAGATTGACCCTGAGTCCTGGGAGAGTTTTTTAATTGAGTTTGGATTTAATTGAGTTTAATTGAGTTTGGATACGTGTATGTGCTTCCTTTTTGTGACTAACCTGGATTGTCAGCATTCCCATGGGCCATGGCATCGATCTGGTGGCAGTTGTAATGGCTCCCTGTAGTCCCTGTAAAAGCATATGCACAGTTGTATATATCCCCAGCAACCTACATGTCTGTGCTCTGAATATCAAAATGGATTCAGAGAGATAGGAGTTGGTTGTGTGTATATTTGTGGGGGGTGAATATGTGGTTTAGAGATCTGTAATAAGTCCTCCGCTGTCATTTTCTACATCTTGCATCACCACTGTTTGTGATGAGCTCTTCCCTTTCGCTCCACTATCTTTTATTCTTTTCAATGTTTCACTATCTGTAATACATTCATGTTGAGCAGCATGTCCTTGTGACTGCACTTACAGAGAATAGTCAAACTAACGCCTTGTCTCGCCCCCCTTTTTAGGTGACATCCACGGGCAATACACAGATCTTCTGCGGCTGTTTGAGTATGGGGGTTTCCCTCCAGAGGCAAACTACCTGTTCCTTGGTGACTACGTGGACAGAGGGAAACAGTCCCTGGAAACCATCTGCCTTCTGCTGGCCTACAAGATCAAATACCCAGAGAACTTTTTCCTGCTCAGGGGCAACCACGAGTGTGCTTCCATCAACCGCATCTACGGTTTCTACGATGAGTGTGAGTTGAAGTAAACTAAACCTGCACACAAACAAGCAATGAAGCACACGTGTAGTGTGGGGTTTTTAATAATGTGTGTTTTATGTGTTCCACCAGGCAAGCGCAGGTTCAACATCAAGTTATGGAAGACCTTCACCGACTGCTTTAACTGCCTCCCCATTGCTGCTATCATTGATGAGAAGATCTTCTGCTGCCATGGAGGTAAAGAGAACTGTTTGCACGTATTTGACCCCCTTGTCCCAATTGTAAACCAAACGTTTTGATGCCCCGGTTCGAAATATAATCGCAGTAACTCCAAACAGAAGTAACCTCTTTTATCTTCTATTTTAGGGCTATCGCCTGATTTGCAGTCAATGGAGCAGATTCGAAGGATCATGAGGCCAACAGACGTGCCTGATACAGGTACTGTATGTGTGTGTGTGTGTCTGCATGCTCATACTGACGAACTATAAATGTATTCTAGGGAGAAATCCAAAGGAAGTGAACATACGTTTTCCTGATTAAATGACTTATTACATCAGTAGACCTGCTGTGTTTCATCAGCAAAGTCAGGATCTTTGTTCTTATCTCCATCTCTCCTCTCTTTGTGTGTCTCAGGCCTGCTGTGTGACCTTCTGTGGTCAGACCCAGATAAGGATGTACAAGGTTGGGGTGAGAACGACCGCGGGGTCTCCTTCACCTTCGGAGCAGATGTGGTCAGCAAGTTCCTAAACCGCCACGACTTGGACCTCATCTGCAGAGCCCATCAGGTAATTCTGAAGGGAATGAATGTAGAGAGCCTGGACATGGAGTGTGTGGTTGCAGCAAGTGCATGGCAAGCAAATTTAGTATTTTTTTCTTAGAGACGTAACATTGGTTGGCCATGCACTTTAATGATAGCTCTATTAGTTTGTATGTCTTTGGCACAAGTAACTAGACACAGACACAAGAGTTAAACCACACATTAATAGACGTGCAGCAGTCTAGCCGAGTGCATTTCTCCTTTTTCTCCACGCATCATTCATTATAACTTTGTTAAATACTCAGTTATTGTATCGTATAAAACTGAGAATGAGACGCTGGCATCAGGTTTATTTACCTGAAGGATGACTGAATACAATTCATTATCTAAATTGTAAAGTACAATTTTTCTGTTACACAACAGCTATTTCGGCTCTGCGTTGGGCGTTTCGTATTGATTCAAGTGTGGGTAGTTATGGACACTCAACCATGATAGCAAAATTGGGTTCTGAAACTAGCTGAAGATCTGTTTTCTTGGTATTGATCGCTGTAGGCGGTGGAATAATGTCATGCGTCTTCTAACAGGTTGTGGAGGATGGATACGAGTTCTTTGCCAAACGCCAACTGGTCACACTTTTCTCTGCTCCAAACTACTGCGGGGAGTTCGACAACGCCGGCGGCATGATGAGTGTCGATGAATCCCTTATGTGCTCCTTCCAGGTAGTCTAAAGCTTTACACAGGCACATGAATGCCGATTGACTTATCTGAGAAACACTTAACACATGCGTCTTCTTTCTCTCTCTGTGTCCTTTTGTTATTATTTAAAGATCCTAAAGCCCTCAGAGAAGAAGGCTAAGTATCAGTATGGAGGTGTGAATTCTGGTCGGCCCGTCACCCCACCCCGCACCACCCAAGCCCCCAAGAAGAGGTGAACGTACAGCCTTGGCTCTCCCCCCTCCTCCTCACCCTGTCCGTCCCTGTTCTGCGATCACGGCAACCCCTGTAACTCCCCTGTATAGCGAAGATACAGGGCTTATCTAATGGCCTGAATCTTTCTCCTCCTTTCTCCCCACTCACCCACCCACCCCAAACTCCACTGACAGCTCTTTTCTTAATGTGTATGTGTACATAAATTTGCTGTGACCAATCTGTTTTATTTTTTGCCTGTTTGTCAGTATTTTTGATATTATTAACAGATTCTCTTGTTTGTGGTTTTACTTCCAATGCCATTCAAGGTTTTCTGAGGATCTGTGTCGTCTCTGTTTAGAGGGGCAAAGTGACTGAGTTAGAGGAATTATTTTTCAGTTTAACAGAAAAACCGTAGAGATTGAACATTGTTTTTGCCTTGAACTCTAAAAAAAAAAAAAAAAGCAGAGAGTATCCTTCCAATGTGTTTTAATGAGACTGCGGTGTCCGTGCTAAATCCGTAGACACGAATAACATTTCTTATATTCCGGTTTAACAGTTTAAACACATTACAGCGTATGCAGTGCACTTGCGGTTGTTGTGCCGTGGCACGTTTGATATATTTAACCCCTGAAAAAGTGCACCTCCCCATGAGTAGCAAAGAATGTGAAGAGACCGGCTTGAATGGAAAAAGTAGAGGATAAATCGGATGCTGCTGGCAGTGGACACTCCCCGAAACACAACGCCCTCTGGGCATCGATTCCTCCGCTCTGTTATGCCTCCCTGTGCCTCGACACCCCTCAACATCACAAAAGCCTGCCGCTCCTTACACTGAGCTGGTATTGACATTTTCCTGGTTCTGTTTGTTGTTTGTTCTCATTAAGATAATTTCCCCCGATATTATCCTCTGGTGTACTAAAAGTGCTTATAAAATTGTCCTTTCCTAGTGATTGTATGAGGAAGGATAGAACATATCTTAACAGCACCGGTTGCAATTTTGTAAGTGTCTAACGTATCTTAAGTAAGCCGTACAGTGTTAAAAAGACCAAATAAAAATAAAGCAAGCTTCACATAATGCTCCACAGTATTTGAATTGTTTAGTGCTGTGTTTATAGAGTGCATAAAAACACAATGAAGAAAGGTTTCTCTTGGAAGCTTAAAGCTTAAAATGACTGCTACCCTCCTGTCGCATCACCCGAATCCGTTCTGGAGTATGAAAACCGGAGGAGTCGGGCGTGGGTGGCAGGACCAGGCAGTTATGCTTTGGGAAGTGATGCCACCTGGTGTATAAATACAGTAGTACAGTACAGATCAGATGTGAATTTCAAACAGCTCAGGATGGGCTTTTCACTACATCGCTGGTACAAAATGTTGCCGTTCACCATGAGGAGGTACTGGCAGATATCTACAGTCGACTGCAAATGAAATGCAGCCGACTTTGCGGAAAACAGTTGCCTCTTCCTTTTTATTTTATGTTTTTTGCTCTTTGTGGTTTTATTCTTTCTGTTGTATTTCTATGTTCTCTATTCACATTGCTTACTTTTTATCCACTTAATTTATTTCCTAATACTGATAATATCAAAACGATGAGGTGTTACCAAAAGCTGTTTTGCGATTTGTACAAGTTTGTTTGAAAGTCTGTAAATTCAATAAAATGGATGGAAACCAAAATTGTTTTGTTTGTCTGTAATGTCAAGAAATTTGAAACGTTGTAAAGTTACTATTCTCTACACTTCTTTATCTCAACATACAACTGATACTCTGGATGTGTTATTGGTAAAAGTGATTGTAAAGCAAAGGGACTCGTTTCCTCTCCTGGTCATCATTGAACGCAGTGATGGTTTAAGCGACCGGGCCAGAGGATCAGCAGCAGTAGAAAACATGGAACACCAGGTGGAGGTGGGACAAGATCCAAGCCAAGATGATCCACAGTCCCACTAGAAATAGGAGACTGTAGTAGATGATGGCCTGTGAGGAGTCAAATGTGGAGTCGGCCTGAGGACAGATTTAAATCTATTAATTTTAACATGTATATATGATTAAAACAGGCTATGATGGCTGTTAAGTTTAGGTATATGTGAACCAATAGCCTGTCTTGCCAAACCTGTACATCCTGTACTTTCACTGCATCAGTCATCACCATATCATCCCCGTTACCAGACCTCAGGAAGTAAGGGGGCCGATGGGAGAGAGTCCTCCTTTCCTTCTTCTTGTGCCCAGAAGGCTTTCGTGGCCGTGGTTCTTCCATTGCCAATGTGTCTGCCCAAGAAGATGTTGGGGTTCAAGCACTCGAAACAACTATGGAATATTATAAACCAAAATATTAAAGTTAAAACAGATCTATCTAATTGATCAATCAAATCAAATAAGCTTAATGGCTTTACAGTTGATGTTACATTATTGCCAAAGCTCAATTTCATATGAATAAATATTTGATTTTAATAAGAAAAATAAATAAGTCAGAATTACGAATCAACGTAGAAGCAAGGAGGAGACTCTTGTTTTCTCTTAGCTTGTGGAAGCATATACATATCTTTTGTAGCCATATTTATCAACATTAACATCTGATGTATTTGCAATCTGCTTCACTTACCACGGTACACGAGATTGTGCCCGATGATGGAGATGAGCAAATTTTGTTTTCCCAGCAGTTGATGTGAGCGACCACTGCAAACTAACCTTGGAATGTTTTCTTCCAAAACAGGAATGTTCTGATTCTAATAATATTATACAAACATATACAATCTTTCAATTGATTGGCCTCTCTAGTTCCGATCGTTTTGTGTAATACACCTCTCCAAACACACGGGGGCGACATGTATCCCTTTGATTCAGTGAAACTGCTCCTTTGACTGTCGTTGACTGGACGGGACGCAGCGCGTGACATCAGATCTGTATACAACACGGATGGGTCACGGTCACTGCGCAGTCGCAGTGGGAGCGATTTACACATCAGCGACGTTTTTCGCGACAAGCTACAAACCAGAAGTGCATGTTGTGTCCCCGTCCTCTGAAATCTCATACAAACGAAAATAATTGATGAAGAGTCTCCCGAGCTGTGCAGACTGTTTGCGTTTAACTCTGACGCTATATATTGTATTTAAATGAGCGTAGTTTGAACACGGAAACAAGTGACGTGGTTGACGGTTGGAGGCTAAAACTCATATTGTGTCAGCCCTGTTATCCTCAGCTGCTGTTGACTAGTCTAAAGTTCATCAATAGAGGTAGAGTTGAAGTGGCTAACGCCGTTAGCTTGTTCATTGTTTCTGAATGCATTGCTAAACTGTGTGCTAGTAGCTACATGTGCTTTCTGTACGTGGTAGCTAGTTGCAGTCATTGAGGATAGTATAGCTTACTCTCTGTGTCTTTCTCTGCCTCTTTTATTTACATGTTTAGAGATTAATTGGTAGCTGTTTTGTTGTTAACATATTTTTCCAAACATGTGATGGTTGCAGACTCAAAAAAATGTGAGAATTTGCTGATTTCTAGTAAACTGAAATATAGCTGCAACAATTTGAGGGTTTTGGACTGTTAGTCAGACAAAACAAGACTTTTTTTTAAGGCATCACCATGAACTCTGAGAAATTGTGATTTGGTATTTCTGACTATATGATACATACAGCTAAAATACTCTATACTAATATTAGTTACACCCTTAAACTAAACATCTTTGGGTTCAGACTGTTGGTCAAACAAGGAAGTTATGATATTTCTCTTTGAGTCATGGGAGATTCTGATTTGCCATTCTCACTATTTCCTGACCTTTTTATAGGGCAGATGATTAGTTTATTAAACAGGAACAATTATCATTAGTTGCAGCCCTAATGTTCTTTTGTAACACTGATATTCCTTGCTTCCTCAAACCTCCAGGCTGAACAAAAACTCCCTTTCGGAGCTTCAATGGCATCCTGTCCAACGATCCCAATCCGCTGTCTCAACAATGACCTGTGGAAAGCCTCGAGCACTGACTGAAGAATGGCGAGGTTTAGGCGCAAGTCTTGCATCACACTAGTTGTTTTGGTGCTGCTTGTGCTCATAGTGACGGTGGTCTTGAAGGCACTGACACCGGAGGACTCTCCGTTTAGCAGCCCTGTTGGTGCGGAGCTGTTCCCGGACAGAAAGAGTCCCACTCACATCCAGAAAGAAAACAACAACAACAAACCTGAGCCGTTCAAAATGAGTGACTCGGATCAGTCAGGCAAACTGGAAGCTGCACTGAGGAAGTTCCCTCCTCCAAACTACTATCTTCATGCTTTCTACTACCCGTGGTATGGGAACCCTAAGTTTGACGGCAAATACATCCACTGGGACCACCCGCAGCTGCCACACTGGGACTTAAAGGTGGCTCAGGGGTATCCGCAAGGGAGACACATCCCACCTGATGACATCGGGGCCAACTTCTACCCGTCTTTAGGGGCTTACAGTTCCAGGGATCCCTCCGTCGTAGAGTCTCACATGCAGCAGCTGCGCACAGCAGCCATTGGTAAAACAATGAATCTAAACAGAGCTGGACAATAATTCAACATTCTCACTTTCCAAAAATTGTGTGATTCCCTAAAATTTTAGGGAACCACACAATCAGTAGTCTTATATTTAAAGTAATTATCATTGAACGATTTAACATACATGAACTATATTTTTGACTCATGTCAGAAAAATGATAATTTCTGCCCCTACTGTATTACGCCTACGACTCATTCTATGTCACTGCAGTACATTTACACTATAGGAGTAACATATTCTATTTATGAACAATTATCCGAGTGTTTTCTTGCCTGTTTGAAATGTAACTGTGTTTATACTCAGGTGTCCTTGCTGTCTCATGGTATCCTCCTAATATGAAGGATGATAATGGTGAGCCACTGGATGACATTGTGCCTTTGCTGTTGGAAGTGGCACATAAATACCATATTAAGGTCTGTATGAAGATAGTAGTCAGTTCAGTAGCCTTTTTGTTTTGTATTTAGCAGTAGACAAAATGTTTGATGTCCCAGGTTCCTTAACAATGTCTTAATATTCTGAAAAGACATTCTTGTCTATAAGAACCTTTTGTGTTGCTGTCGTTCCTGTGTTCACAGGTGGCGTTTCACATTGAACCCTACAAAGACAGAGATGAAGTCAACATGTTTGCTAATGTCAAATACATCATTGAGAAGTGAGTGTGTTTCTTCAGCACCATAATCTTACACTCCCTCTGGAAATCCTTCAGATTTCTATAGTTTGTTCCTGTGACATTTCCCCTTTTTGCTTGTTCATCTTGTGTTGTTTACCTCCTCCTCTCAGATACGGGGAGCACCCTGCTTTCTTCAAGTACCGGACAAACACTGGCAAGCTTCTTCCCCTCTTCTATGTGTATGACTCATATCTGATGAACTCGGAGCAGTGGGCCAAGCTGCTCAAACACACGGAGAGTAACAGCATCAGGAACAGCCCGTATGATGCCATCTTCATCGCCCTGCTGGTTGAGGAGAAACATAAGAGGGATATCCTGACTGCCGGTTTTGATGGTGTCTACACCTACTTTGCTACAAATGGGTTTTCCTATGGGTCCACTCAGCGTAACTGGGACTCTGTTAAAGCTTTCTGTGACGATAACAACCTGATATTCATCCCAAGTGTGGGCCCCGGCTACATTGACACGAGCATTCGACCCTGGAACTTCCAAAACACTCGAAACCGCATCAACGGCAAATACTACGAAACCTCGCTGAGTGCTGCGTTACAAGCCAGGCCTGATTTCATCTCTATAACATCTTTTAATGAGTGGCACGAGGGGTCTCAGATCGAAATGGCAATTCCCAAAACAGGCCAGACTGTGTATCTGGACTACCTGCCCAACAAACCTGCAATCTACCTGGAGATAACTCGCAAATGGGCTGCGATCTTTGGTGGAGAGCGACGGAAATGGCAGGATTGAGCTTACTAAGAGTTTATTCACGGTTGTATAAAATGATTACATGAAAGCTATATGAAGTTGTAGTTGCAGAATGCACAACAAAATGCAAAATGGTGAATAATTTTCTGAGCCAAATGAGTTCTAAAGCCACAAGCAAGTGAGCTAAATTATCTTTATTTGGGCTGCAATGATGTATGTGATTGTTTTTACATTTTGGTAAATTATTGTTAATTTAACTGATGTCTTATTACTTATGTTTACACAGCCGTGCACATTTTGGGATTTGTAACGTAATCAGCATGTCTTTTCACCGACTTTAAAGTATCCAACTAAAAATCTGTGCCTCTATTAAACTTCAATAGAAATAAATAAAGTGCACCCTGGAAAGGAGTGAAAGTAAACAAAGCAGTCTGCTGGTATAAAGCTGTCGCCTCGCTCTTCTTCCATCTCTGCCTCTGCCCAAAAACAATACAAGAAAAAGCACAACATAGATCTTGATATTAGAAAGGAGAACCTCAAATCTGAGATGAGTCACAGGGATGAAAACAGTCGAGGGCTGACAGGACAGCAGTTCAGTTATTGAGAGAGAGAGAGAGAGAGACTGCAGCGCAGAATGAAAATGATGCTCATCTGTGGAATAGCTTACCTTTATAATAAAGGTCTGACACCAATGAACATGCCAAGTCTCTGTTTATTTTGGAACTTCTTTGCTGCAAAAGTTGCATTTTTGAGAATTTCTTGCCACCAAAGTCGTGTTCAGGCCACCCGGCAAACTCCAATATTGTTTCTCTTGCAGTCTGTTCTTTGGTCGATGAACGGATGAGGGAAATACCTGGCTCTTAAACGGCTAAATGCTGCACGGTGTTCACCAGCTATAGTCGTAAATAGGATAGGAAGGAGATTACATCTTATACTTTTACTTTGGTAACTGTACCATGCAGGTTATAATCCCTTTCTTCAACTGGTTATCAAAATCTTAATGTATCACCAAATTAAAGAAGAACAGAACTTAAATACAATTAGTATAGTATAAATGTTTTAGAACATTTTACACCTTTATGCTATATATCAAATTCTCATGAAGACATGATGAAGTGGTGTCTGGCCCTTTCACTCATCACCTCTCAGCACACGCAGCAGAGCTGGTTACATTCACACCTATTCTGCTTACACATCATGATGACACCTACTGTATGTGTAAAGAATAATCTTTTTACCTCCATAGCATGTACTTATCTTAGAAATGCTACACGAGAACTGTTAGAAATGCTTTTATGTATTAGCCTCATGAATTGTTAATGCAGATGTTCAAGTGGTTTCCTGAAGCGATTAATTGACGATCAGTGAAACAAATATACAGGGCAACCAGTTATGAGGAGATGATGTATTGATAGATACAACTGTTTAATGTACTCACTATAGATAGTGAGTAAAGGGGGAATTGTGAGGAATTTAAGTTTTAAAGCGCTCCTAGCGATGGATATTATGTGTTACAATATGTTTACTTGTAGAAGGTTTAAACTAAAGGGAGAGTTACTGAATTTGTTGTGCACTGTGAGAGAAACCAAAGAATTTATGACACTGCCATGAAGTCAGAGAGAGGGGGATGTTGCTAGTTTCTGAGCACAGCCTTCAAGAAGGGGGGTGAATTGGTCAAGGAAGTGTCCGACTGAAGTCCGAAGGGTTCAGCCAATCACTGAGCTGATCGATGGCTAAGGAATGTGTAATATGAGACATTTCAGAGACTTTGGAGAGACAAAGAAACTGTGAATCCCCGGAGAGAATCAGACCTCATCTGGACCATGAGGCGGACACACTAGTCTCTCGTGTGGGGCGGATGGGGCCTCTATTTCATGAAATATTACTATTGATAGTTAATTCAGTTTGTAACTGCATTTGCTTTTGTTAGTATATTAAATTCCTTTTGATTTAAACTTCAACCATCTGATTCGGCCCTGCTTAATGATGGAAGAAGGAGAGCAAGGGGGGGGGCTGCCTCTTCTCCTCTTCATGCTTCTTCTCCTCTGAACAAGGAGGGGGGCTTTTTCCTTTACCTCTTGTTTGAGAAATTTTGAACATAACAGTCGCTAACTGTGTCCGTCCGCTCTGTTTGGTGCTCGGTAGGTAATGTGCAGCGGGTTTTTAAGAGGTTTTAGTCGGGAAGCCGTAGGCATTTACCAGGCAGAGAGGGGGTCGAATGAAAGACACTATTGAGTTGCATTATGGGTATTGGAGGTTGCAGTGTTTTTGGAGCTTGACCCATAGAAGGGACAAAAAGCGGTGATGTCTCAGCCGCTACTCCTTTGATTTTGACTGTTCTTTCTTTTGTTGTTGTTTTAATCAGTCTCTCACATGTCCCCCCAACTTTATGGAAGAGCAATAATACATTGCAGGAGTGCCACTGTAAATGATTAGTTAATGAGCTAATAGGCATAACTTGCGATGGTGAAGGTGTAATTGTGCTAATGGGAACATTTGGAACCCTTAAGCACCTTATGTGCCGAGACAGTTCATATCAGCAAGTAAACATGGCTGGTCAAAGTTCATCACTAACACATAGAGCTCCCATTATTGTGTTATTAGGATAAAGACACAGGCCAAGAGAGAGGGGACCTTTTCATCCACAGCAGCAATGATTCACCTGTTTATTCAAAGGAGGACCCTGAAGCAGATGACTAAAGTGTAATATGCACGAACGCTGAAGCCCAGCATCCCTCACACACTGGAGCTCCGCCACAGCCTGCAGCTGCATTGACGGTAAACAGAGAAAGGTAGCGCATGGGCAGCCAGCAGGAAATTATTCCACATCGCATCACATCACTGGGCATACATGGCGTCCTCACACACCGAGCCATGAATATAGTGTGCAGGCTGACGAGGTAGCAGCCAATTCTTCTCTGCTTCTCTCTTTTTTTTTTTTTTTTTTGTTTGCAGCCATCGTTCTTTGCGGCGGTGTGCAGCAGCGGGGAAGATTCAGCGCACATTGCTACAGTAGGTATCATTTTTTTTTTCTGGATCAAGACGATGGATGTGGGCTCATCCGGATCTATTCCTGCAAATACGGCGGACGGGCGCGACTTTTTATTCCAAACGCATCCGCATCTTCCGTATGTTTCAAGGTGTCTTTGAAAAAGCGTATACGGACCTCTGGAGGAAATGAGAAGAAAGGTATATTTTGACTCACGCCTGTCGAGATGGTGAGTGAAATGCATGGCTGTTCCCCCCCCCCCCCCC